CTTGAGCACACACTGCAGCAGGAACTTTGTAATAAACTTGATGCATCTTTAGCATTTGATTACTTCATCGATGCATGAATTGCAATTTACCTATACAAAAGGTTACAACTCCATTCTGTTTCAGGTACAAAGCAGAGCTATATGCCCTCACTTCCCCCTTTGACAAGATGCAACCGTGACTCAAAATTGATCAAGCTGTGGAAGAAAGCTAGCCCTTGTGGCTCTAATCTCTCAGAGCTAGATCACATACATGAAGGTCATCATCCAAAGCCATCAACCAGCCGTGGCACGCAGCGCCTCTACATCCGTCTCAACACCTTACACCACCTCCTCACTCACATCAACACCATTGAGAAAACACTCTCTCATACCCCTGGTGTAATGGCTTCTTCAAACCGCAAACTCACTGGTCCCTACTTTGAAACACTTAATTCCTCCATCCCAGCAGCATGTCAACATGTCTCAGAAGTAGCAGCATACCGCCTCATATTCCTTGACTCCAATTCAGTCTTCTATGGCAGCCTCTACTTTGGCGATGTAGCCAACGCGCGCATTAGACCGGCACTGAGGATCCTCAAGCAAAACATCACACTGATGACTACACTTGTGGCAGATAGAGCACAAGCACTTGCAATGAAAGAAGTGATGAAGGCCTCCTTTGATGCATTCCTCATGGTTTTGCTTGCAGGGGGAAACTCAAGGGTGTTCAACAGGTCTGAACATGCGATGATCCAAGAGGATTTTGAGAGCTTGAACCGGGTTTTCTGCACTTGTGGGGAGGGACTAATAGCAGAAGACTTGGTGCAAAGAGAGGCTGCAGTGGTGGAAGGTATCATTGCCTTGATGGGGCAATACACCGAACAGTTGATGGACGATTTCAGCACTGCCACATGTGAAACGAGTGGAATTGGAGTCATGGGAAATGGGAACAAGTTGCCTGTGCCACCTACCACAGGAAGGTGGAACAGGTCAGATCCTAACACAATATTGAGGATTCTGTGCCATAGAAATGACAGAGCTGCAAATCATTTCTTGAAGAGGACATTCCAATTAGCAAAGAGAAGGTGAAGCCAAAAAAATTGTATCTCTTGCTGAAGTTTTAGCACAGAGATCCCTTGGCAATGATGTAAATTGTTGCTCTACAATTCTTGCCTAGTGAGAAGGAGGGAGCAGGTTGTATATTTGAAAGCACACAAAGTGGTTGCCAAATGGAGAAAATATGCTTAGGCATTGAAACATACATACAAGACTAATGCAGAATATGTGCTGATTTGTATTATAAGTTCCCTAAGATATTCTTTAATTGTTTTTTTTTGGGAGATAAAAGAGAGAAGGGAAAAAATGGAAGTTTCTTAGCTTAGTTTGTTTATGTTGCATATATATAGTCTAAGAGTAGCTTGTAGCAGGGATATGCTACCAGCAGTTATGCTACAATTAGTCTACACTACAAAACGAACTAGTAGGCCTACACACAATGCTGAGAATTTCAGTTTGTAATTAATCAATTAGTTGGAAGGAAAATGTATTTTCGTTTCTAATTTTAGTGTCAACTAAAAGGACTTCTTGCAATTAGGGCACTAATCAAAATGGGGTTCTAGAAGTTAATAACCAACATAACAAAATTACTGTAACAATGTTTTTCAAACATCATACGAAAAGCTTTTACCAAAAAGAAGTTACCACAATAAGTTGCATTGCAAATAACTAAATATGGGTACGTGTTAGGTAAACAAGTGAAATATTTAAATTTTGTTTGATGAAAATGTATTTTAAAACATTATTTTATCACTTAATATTTTAGTTTTAGATGAAATCCTTTGGTGCAAGATGTGAAATTATTCTAGTGGACTTCTACTTACCATTGGTTCCAAAAGTAAAGTTATGGTTTAAATTATACAATATTAAATTTTGATTAATTATTAAGTTGATAGTAGTACATGATGTGAAGATTCTTAATATAGTAGTAGTTCTTGTTTAAGAGTTTTGAGAGTGTCATCCTTTATCTATCATTTTATGTATAAAAGAAATTATTATGATAAATTTTTAATGATATTTAAATTTGTTGTGCATGGGAAGTTATCACACACGGTTTGGGCCCAATTTTCAAGATTTTTATACCATTTAAAAGACTTCTCTACTAATGAAACAATCGTATGTATATAAATTTATATTCATCATCTTATTTGAATGATGTGAGACTTTGTTTCCATCCTAATAAAATTGAACCCAACAAAGTTGAACACCAATAATAATAATTTAACATTTAATCACTTTCATACATTATATTTCTTTGTAAAGATTTTATATCTTTTGACGTAAGTTTTAGTGTTTATTAAGTTTTTTTTTCTTCTTCTAAATATAAGTTTTAATATAGTAATATTCTATAGTGACATGCCATCTATTAACAGCTTAAGCAATGTCATATTCACCCACACGTAAGGATCTAACTCTAATGTTATAACCAAACAACAAATCACACTTAATTTTCACTAAAGATTCTCGTGCAACACTTCATACATGATGCATCATATTTACATTCAGTTACTTTGGAATTTAATATTACTATACATGAGATGGACTACATATAAATGCATCTACATACATGACAAAAGAAAAATGTCATGACATGATACCATCTGAATCATACATAACAAAGTCTGTTGTTATCAAGTAATTGTGCATCATCTTTTTACATCACCAAGTGAGTATAATATCTCGAGTCATACCTTCACACAAAATCTTGTGCATCATCTTTTTTTATAATATCTTTACACAATTCTAAACTACCCCAACCTTTTATCCAGTTGGAATGAGTTTAGTCGAATTCAACCCAAATCAACCCAATAACAATTCTAATCTCAAAAATCTGGTATTTATATATATATAAAAAAAATACATTTTTGGGTGATGCTGAACGAGTGGCAGTGCATGGTTTAGAATGATAAGAAACCACATTCAAATCCTTGATTGAGGTTGATTTTGAGTAACAAAATAAAAATCTTTTGGACAGTGCTCTAATACTGATTAAAAAAAATGCTACAAATAATAATTAAGAGGATATTATGATTGTAACAAATTCTTTTGAATTGTGACAAGAGTCGGAAATAACATCACCCCTGTAAGGAAATGCTATGAATTTCATTCCCTGTAAATAGTAGCAGCAATGTTTGTATATATACTGCTTCATAAATCAGTAATAAATCAACGCTTCTTTTTATAGATAACATTATTAGCTGAGGAAAATAGGATCAAATTATGACATGATCAAATGATCATTTACAAAAGTAAAACAGAAAAGAAAACGGGGAAAAACATGAATTTGAATAAGAACACAAATAAAGGTTGACTGGTTGATCCTGATAAATAAAACATAATGCAAATAGTAAATGATGATTTAAAAAAAAAATAAATAAATAAAAAAAAATAAAAAATAAAAAAACTGGCAGAGAGCATATCACACACAATTAACCAAGAATTGAGACAAAGCCTGTGATGAACTGGGTATACTACATGGGTTAGAGAAGAATTGTGTACATACTTTGGCTTTTCCAATGCAAGAGAGTTTCAATGTCAAAAAAACAATATAAGATCCAATAATTTTAAAGGAAATCAAAACATATACATCCAATGGGTAAAAGAAAAAAGAATAGTTAATAGAGATAAGGACGTGAATTTAAAATCTGAATTTGAGGAAAAAGTGCCAAGACTAGTTGTAAATTCTAATCAATTGCCTACTAATTATAAATATTTGTGCAACCTAAACAAAGTATAATGTTCTTTATACAATGGTTTATTTAAAGAACATTGTTAGCAAAGGAAAATAGGATTAAATAATCCAAATAATATTCGAATGAGTTTGCATTAGTACTAAAAAAGTAGAGTTCCCCCTCCCCCTTCCCTACCCCGGGACAAACTAAAGAAATTTAAAAAGAAACAAAATCTTGCAGTCCCTCTTGCACAACTATCCCAACCCAAGCTTAGCTCTCGTGACTTTATATGTAAATTCTCCCAAAATCTAGAGATAAATCTAGGTTCTCTATTAGAAACTATGCTATAAGGTACATCATGTAGTCTATCTCACTAACATAAAAGTTTGTCAACCTCTCTAAGTACTTAATGTTAATCGAAATAAAGTGAGCAAATTTAGTCAACTTGTCCACTATTACCCAAATACCATCTAAGCACTTTGTAGTTCTAAGTAACCTAACTACAAAGTCCATGATATACTATCTCATTTCCACTCAAGTAAATCTAAAGGTTGCAATTTTCCTAAAGGATTTTTATGGTCTACCTTAAACATCCGACATACTAAGTAAGCATATACAAATCCATTTATATCCTTTTTCATCCTAGGTCATCAAAATATCTTCTTAAGGTCTTGTTACATTTTAGTGACTCATGGGTGATTACTCATCTTACTTCTATGTCTTTATTTTAAGACCATCTTTTTATGTTTAGCGACTCTAGGCACACACAATCTATATTGAAATCTTAAAACTCCATCTACACCCACCTTCAACTACTTTCCTTACCTTGGTTCAAACTTTCTACCTAAGCTAACAAAAAAGGGTCTAAATTTTGGCCTTTTCTAATCTCATTTATTAAACCACTATTTACCTTCAACATGCCAACTTAATACTTTTAGGAGTTAACTAACAAAATAAATCAAGGTTTCTAAATTGCTCTAAAATATCCAACTCCTTAATCATTAAGGAATACATGTAAAGATTTTCTACTTAAGGAACAATCCTAAATCAGCTTTACCTGGGTGGCAACTTAGCTCATAAATCCTTAAGAAACTCTAATCATCTCTTGTGTCTCATATTTAATTCTTTTGGCCAAAAAGGTACCTAAAGCTTTTATGATCACTAAAGCCTTTGACCTTGAATCATACAATTAATGTCTCCACAACTTTAGAGCAAACACTACTGTAGTCAACTTTAGATCATAGGTAAGGTAGTTTCAATCGTAGTCCTTAAGTTGTCTAGATACATAGACTACTACTTTACCCTTCTACATAAGAACTCCTCTTAATCTCATCTTAGAGGCATCATAAAATACTACAAAAGGTTCACTATAATTAGGGAAAACTAAAACAATTATGCTAGTCAACCTTCTTTTAAGTTATTTAAAATTACTCTCACACTTAGTATCCCACAAAAAGGCTTGACTCTTCCCATTCAACTTAGTCAATGGTAAGGTTATCTTAGATAAACCTTATTGGAGAAAAGATACACACTAGAAGGGGGTTGAATAGTGTATATCAAAAACTCGCACTTTTTGAAATGTAATGAAGTAGTAAAAGCTTTGATAGACGAAGCGCTAGAATGCAACAGAAAAAGGAGCACAAATCATTTAAATTGGTTCGTCTCAAACCTAGAGACTATGCCCATTTCTCAATTCAACTAGATTGAGTTCCACTATTTTTTTCAAGATACAAGTATTCTTTCAACAAGTCACTTTTGGCTCAAGCCTAAGTAATTTTTGACTTGCCTCTTCAAGCAACTATCCAAGTATTCTTTCAACAAGTCTCTCTAGACTCAGCACCAAGTATTTTTTTGAACAAGCCTCTTCAGGCTTAACACCAAATATCTTTTTCAACGAGGATCTCTAAGCTCAAATACTAAGTATTCTTTCAACAAGTCTCTCTAGGTTCAACCCTTACAAATAAAAATTTGAAAAGATTTACAAAGATAGCTCTACCTCTTCTAGACATGATGCTATGAAACTTAAGCACAAATAGTCTATAAAGAACTGTGTACAAGATTTACAATGAAAAGCTTCTTTTTAGTACTTCAACTTTGTATGTCTCAATATATTTCTCAATGTGAACTTCTTAGTAAGTGTTGATCTTTTTATTTACAGTGCTTCACTCTCTCTTCGTTATTTGAAGGCTTGACCCTTTTATAGTAGCTTCAAAGAAGATGATCGTTATAGCAACTTTGAGTTGAATTTTTCAATTTTCTTCATGAGTTGCTTCGTCTATCTTCTTTATTGATCCTAGAGATTATCGTTGGTGCATTTAATGCAAGCATTAAATGCCTTTCAATAAGGTGTGTATCTTTTATCTGATCTTGCATACTACTTATCATCATTTCCTGCTAAATTGAGCATGACAGAAGTAATGTCAACGTAGAGCAGTTGATGTCAGAATAGAGCAGTCTTTTGCAGAACCTTTTCCATGATATCTGAGATTTTGCTTTTTGCTTCTTATGAATATTTTGTCTTTTTCTTCTTTAATAAACCTTGAGAGTTTTGAAACTTCTTTTTTGTTTGATT